AGTAACAGCGGTGACCTCCGCTAGCGTTACATAGCAACAGAGCGCCAGGCAAAAGGGTGCCTATTACGTGGCCGTTTTCCCGTATTGTCCGATCGAGGCTACATAGGGAGAAGCGAAGGCTATTCACAGTCAGTTCTAGTGTGGCTACCGCAGCGTTGTACTGAGTCAGTCAGCGAGTCCTGGACCTATCGTCGAGTTAGCCAGCAACCAGTCAGTTGTATTGTGGCATTGGGAGTGTACTAATTGTGATACTGCAGATAGCAGTAATCGTAAATCTGTAATTTGGGTGATTGTAAGTGCGAATGTGAAATAAAATTCGCTACACCGAATACATCGAGAATTTATTTGTCGCGATATACACCCGATACGCGACAATATTTACTTACTTACTCATGGAGCTGAGCCCTTCTGGAGGAGCAGCCAATTTTGCAGCTACTCAAGAATTTCCCAGCATTTTATGGAACCTGAAGGTTCATTACCGTGTTCACAAGAGCCCTCCACTGGTCCCTATCCTGAGCCAGATCAATCCAATCCATAACATCCCATCCTATCTCTCCAAGATCCATTTTAATATTGGTCACCCACCTACACCCCACCTACACCTCGGTCTTCCCAGTGGTCTCTTTCCTTCTGGCTTTCCCACCAATATCCTATATACATTCCTTGTCTCCCCCATTTAACTAAGCAACTGTTAGCTTTTCAAGACTCTATTCCAAGGAGTTCCTGATGTAAGGCTCTCCCACATTTAGTTTTCATTTCATGGAGTCCTGGCTGAAGTCCCATATATGCAATGTATAAATCAACCCATTTTAGTGTTTCTTGATTTAGGATTTTACCTGCATTTAGTGGATAAAAATGTAGTCGCTACATGAAGTCAATACCCTGACTTAATGCCAATGCCATAATTTGCCCAACTTTGGTTTCGGCATGCTGAGCTTCCAGGCAGTCAGCTGGTCAGCTAGTGAACAATTCACATGAGCATCTACTGACCTTCAGCAGCTTACAGGAAGGTGCCATGTTGCAAGTACTGTATTCTCTTGGAGGCCATGTTCACACATGTGCCCTACATGTGGTTTCAAGTATATGCACACAATTGTATGCTTAAAATCAGCTGATAAGTTTTCAAATGCACAAAGAATAAATATTATCTACATACACATGTGCATAATTTTTGTGCATTGGTCAGCAATTTTTAAAACTGAATTAGTGCTCGCAAACAATAAAGATGTTGACAATTAGTGACAAAATAAACATATCTGGAAAAGAATTCCATCATCAAGGAAACCTGGCAGCAGTGCAGAGTGGACACAACATTTCTCACAGATTGCTGCTGTAACTGCTGATGGCAGAATGAGTCATTAGCATTGATAAACATGCGCCATCAGGTGGTCTGATCTTGTCACTACAGTAAGTTGGATTAATAGTCAGTCTCTTAGAGGTGTCAATAGGAAGGTTACATTTATACTGAAATGATGTTCACTACCTAACAGCATGTGTTAACTGTCTGAACTTTTGTAAGGCAAAAGACTTACAGAAAATGTATATGTAAGTTTTGTTGTAAATATCCTGACTCGCCAGTTCCCACAAAGTCATGTGTATCCAAGCTTGTGAAAAAGTGGCAGGCCACAGGATCAGTATGTAACACAAAGAAGCAATCGAAGAGGATTGTGCTGATTGAAGAAAAGGTTTGGGATACTGAGGCACGACTACAGATCATTCCTCAAAAACGGTTAAGACGTTTAGCACAGGAAACCAGTGTTTTGTTAGGATCTGCTTTCACAGCCACAAAATTAATCAAATTACCCATGTTATTTCATTCTGCAGAGCTTCAGTGCCGTGAGGGTTATTCTTGTAGACTTTTCCTTTTAGGTTTCCCCAAAGATCAAAATCGCAAAAAACTGAGATCTGGGAGACCACAGTCCCCTACTGATTATTTTGTCTTCAAACATTTCCTGTATTGCGATCATGGTTGCATTAGTTGTATGTGCTGTAGCGTTGTCTAGCTGAAAATACCCATACTGTCTTTCTTCAGCAGTCAGCTGATTGAAGAACAGATTCGGTATATTATTAATGCAGTGGTCAGAGTTAATGGTTTTGTGGAAAAATTAGAGGCCAATGATTCACTGCAGACTTACAGCACACCACACCCCCACTTTTTCACTATGTAATGGCACTTACTGTAGAGTGTGAGGATTTTCATCTTACATTTTGTGCACTGACATGACCACTAACATGAAACCACGCTTCATCAGTCATGAATCCTGTGGATCCATGATTCCATTGTGCACATTTTGCAGCAGCCAGTTGCAAAAACGAAATCTTGCTGTTTAATCTGAGTGTTTCAGCTCATGCACAACTATTATTTTATAGGGCGAAATTTGATTAATTTTGTGGCTGTGAAAGCAGATCCTAGCAAAACACTGGTTTCCTGTGCTAAGTGTCTTAACGATTTTTGAGGACTGATCTGTAGTCAAAGAGAACAAGCATTATGTTCAATGTGATCAGATGAAAACTACATTTATAAAGATACCTCCTTATGTTCTTGGAAAATATTTCACACCTCATTAGAAATTTCCATTTACTCAAGAATATGACTCCACATGATTCAACCCTCTAACACAATAGGAGGGATTTAAAGATCTAACAGATGGGTGAGCAACCTGTGGTAACTCCTGCAAAAAGGACAGAAGAGAACATGGAAACTGGTTGCATAAACTATTTCATATTCATTTACTTACCACGCCGCTTTTATTATCCAAATGTTTACGCAGCACTTTGAGCAGGTACTCAGCCCTTGTCTGAAGATGTTTCGCTTGAGGTTTTTTATCTTCATTGGCAAGAATTTTATCACTAATGCCAAGTGATGGATCCATTTTTATTGCTTCCCATGAACCTATTCCATACTGATATATGCCTTGTAATATTTTAGAATCATCCTCTATGTCCCAAGGCACATCAAAATTGGCTGGCTTCACCCTAGTATAACACACAATTCGTCAGTATACAGTATAAACAACAGAGCTCTAAGGACTCTAAGGTGGATACCAGAAATCCAAAAATCTTATATACAACCCAGAAAATTCTTACAATATAAAGTGATTACTTCAAATTGCAGTTCTTACACAAAAAACAATTTGCAGCAGAAGGAAGTTCAGAATATGAAAATCTGAAGTAATGTATAATGAAGAGCTGTGAGGGACAAGAAGTCACAAGTGATTCTTCTGTATAACAATGACTGAATATTCAGTATTTCAACCCCTAAAAATTACAGCTGTTAATCATCATCAAATAAATCATGCGAGACTTACAAGTACATTTTGAATTCTCTCAACTTTCTCTGTATATCAGAATATGTACTCCATTTAAGTTGACATGAGCTGTGGTAGTCAGATACCATATGGAAAAGTTATATGTTTAGATGTGTGCATTTGTTTTGGTTTATACTATGTTGTGCATAAAGTTCATTAGACTGAACTGTAATATGGAACCATACATCTAGTGACTAGTTCATAATTTTCAACATAGAGTCTTTCTCAAAGGCCAAACCCAGCTGTCCCAACTGTGAGAGAAACAAGCAAGCAGCAGAAGAATAAACAGATGGGAAAGAAACTGCCACCTAGCATTACTATACAGGTAGCATGGGTCTCATCATATCATATTAAACCCACAGTTATGAACTGATATTACAAAACAGATTTCACCAGTATATTACTTACTTACTCATGGAGCTGAGCCACCAATTCTGTAGCTACTTAAGAATTTCCCAGCATTTTATGGAACCCAAAGGTTTATTAAAGTGTTCACAAGAGCCCTCCACTGGTCCCAATCCTGAGCAAGATCAATCCAATTGATACCATCACATCATATCTCTCTAGGATCCATTTTAATATTGTTCACCCACCTACGCCTTGGTCTTCCCAGTGGTCTCTTTCCTTCTGGCTTTCCCACCAATATCCTATATGCATTCCTCATCTCATTCACCTCAGTGTCCAAGTTTTCTAAAGCCACAATCCTATTTGAGATTTCAACATGATATTGCTCCTTACCGTCTATCTCGTTTAATTTCTTTAGATTGAACCTCTCCATATGAACTCTGTGCATCATTTATTTACTCACTGCCAGTCTTCCCTCAACCTCTGCCACCACCAGGTAGTGGTAAGTATCACAATCTGCTGCCCTGAATGATTGGACATCAAGTACACTTGAATGAAGTCTCCTATCTACCAAATTATGGTCGATTTGATTGTGTATCTTCCCATGAGACGTCCAAGTAAATTTATGGATGTTAAGATGCGGAACATTGTACTTTTGGCAGTAAGATTTTTCAATGTGGCAAAGTTTACTACTCTGAATGATTGGACATCAAGGATATTTGAATGAAGTCTCCTATCTACCAAATTATGGTCGATTTGATTGTGTATCTTCCCATGAGATGTCCAAGTAAATTTATGGATGTTACGATGTGGGAACATTGTACTTTTGGCAGTAAGATTTTTCGATGTGGCAAAGTTTACTACTCTAACTCCATTATTATTACTAATTTCATGCAAACTCTCATTCCCAATCGCTGGTTTGAAAATGTCTTCCCTCCCTACTTTGGCATTGAAATCTCCTGACAAAATGTTCATACGGCACTTCGGGAATTCATCAAATACATGTTCTGGTTCCTTGTAGAACCTGTCCTTTATATTGTATCATCAATGTTATCTTCCGTGGGGGCATGAACATTCAGAATGATATCACATCAGTGACCTTTTAGTATTATATATGACATCCTATCACTAATAAAGTCTACCCTCTTAACTGCTGATATGATTCTCTTATGTATGAAGAAACCTCTACCAAATTCATAATTTTCACTCTCCTTTCCATAGAAAAATGTATATTTGCCTGCTGGTTTGATGCCACCTCTGTCCCATCTGACCTCTTGTACTCCCACTAAATTTAACTTATATTTCTAGATTCCTTCCGCCACTGCCCTGAATGAACCTACCCTATACATACTTATGACATTCCAAGTACCGAATCTCATGTAACCAATACACTCATAAAAAAGGGTACAATGCCAGCTTGCTTGAGTATAGTGTATACCACATTTTCTCTTCTTCAGTATCATAAAAAGTGGAAAAGTAATCCATACAACGGTCCTATTTAATTTTTTACAAAACGCTGACTTTACATTGTATTAGTTCAAGCTTCGTATTCAAGTCCAAGTTCTTTCTTTCATTGCAGTAATTACAACTGTTCACATTTTTGCAGTTGGCGCTATTGAAACATATGTTTGATGGAGAGAAAACCTTAAACATGCAGCTGTATACTTGCACTGTATATCACTGTCCAACCTATGTCACTGGAAGCTAAGATGAGGAAACCTGTGCGACAAGGTGGCAGGTTGTGCACAGTACCTCCATAACATAGAATTCAACTATTCAAGTGACACAATAGACAACAAAACAAGGTACTGGACTGAAGATAAAATTCAGAGAACTTCATATGTTACTTATTTTTCAATAGTTAAAACCTGAAGAGGGCAAGGTGCTCAAGGTCTTATTTCTCCTAAACAAGACTAGGAAAGAGAGCCTGGATTAATGTGACCTTTACAGACCTCTAGTCACTTGCAAGTGCAGTTGGTGCAAAACAATACAGGAAAACAGTGGCAGCTAGTTAGGAATGAGTCATTATGAAAAAATGTTGTGGAAAAACGACCTAATTCCTTCCAATAGTTTTCCATATATGAAATGTTAAGAAACCAACGGTTCCAGTTGTTTATGTCATAATAAAGAAGCCCTCTTTATAAGACAGACTTACCCTATCATTAGTTTGTAATATCTAAACCTTTTTCTGAAAACATCACTACTGATCACCCAACTTACAATTCTATGGAGATATTGTCTGAAGAATTTTATGTGTGAAGAGTGAACACTAAATGGTGGTGATAATAATAATTCCTATAATACTTTCAAAAGTCAGTGGTTCTCAACCATATGTGATCACCTCAGAATGGTCACAAACTTCTTTCATTATCGTTTACTTAACCCTTCAACTATGCAGGACATTTAATTTTTACTCACTCCTTGGGATGGAGGGTATTTAATCATTTAAAACGGTAAATGCAACATTTCACTTAAACGGTAATAAATTGGGAAAAACTGGAGTTTTGTTTTTCTAATTTTCATACTACATTCAGAAATGTATGTAGAATAGGTGTAGCAAAAGATACTGAGATAGCTACTATAAATAACATACTCATAACCAATAAGTACAACACAGATACAATTACTGAACTAACTACAAATAAAAGAAACCAAACATTACAGAGAATTCAGAAGAACAAAAAACGAAATGGGCAACATTCACGTACATAGGAAAAGAAACAAGAAACATTACAAAAATATTTCGAGACACAAAACTAAAAATAGCATTTAGAACTAAGAATAATTTACAACATATCTTAAAATCAAAGACACAAATGAGTAAATATAACAAAAGTGGCATATACAGAATGAAATGCCTAGATTGCCCCATGGAATATATAGGACAAACTGGGAGAAAATTTAATACCAGATATAAAGAACACATACATGACATTAGACACAATAACAGCAATACAGGGTACTCAGAACACATATTAAACACAGGACATACATATGGTACAATAGAAAATACTATGGATATCACAGCAACGAATAAGAAAGGACAATATCTAAACACATTAGAAAACTATCATATATATAGAACAACAAAGAAAAACACGCATATGAACAACGTAAATAAGGAAATATATAACCCAATATTTCATGAATTACACAAAATTTACACAGAACAACATAACACAACCCCCCCACATCATAACTCAATCAATACGAAGACACACACACATCCAACATTACAACGCTCGCAACCAAAAAGGAAGGACACCTCACAGACACAGTAAGTACTAAACATTATAACACAACACATAACAGATAAAAGTCGAAAGTAATAATAATAAGTACCATTTTTAAATTGCAGGTACACACAGAAACGACTCCCATGTGGACGAACCAAACTATACGCGAGTTTAAATTGAGACATATAGATGAATAATCTTAACAAGTTTTAGTACATACAAATTTTATTATGGATGACGAATAATGTGCTTTCTGGATAGTTTTATGAAAGACACAAAATGGCAAACAATGTAATAGCTTAGCGTAAGTGACGAACCTGAAGATGGCACTATGTTGCCGAAACATGTAGTAAGAAGTGACATATGAAATTGAGTGCACTACAAGACGGCCATTTCATACATATCATGAAGAATAGGTGTACTGATCCACACAAATTTAAAACTATTTTTTGGTACAGTAAGCCTATAAAAATTAGGAATAGTATCATATTATCTTAGGCCGCACCATAGCTCAAGCGGTTAGTCGCTGGCTTCCCACTGTGGTGGCCCAGGTTCAATCCCTGGTCTGGTCAAGTGGGATTTGTGGTGGACAGAGTGGTGCTAGGGCAGATTTTCTCCAAATACTTTGGTTTCCCCTGCCAATCTTCATTCCACCAAATTCTCCATCATCATAATCACACAGGGCAGGCTACAATAGGCCAGTCAGTGACCACCGTGCCAAGTGGACCCAGCTGGACTCCACCCCCGACTAAGCGAATTTAAAAAAAAATCATATTATCTGAGAAATTCAGCTGGATGTGTTAGTCATGAAAACATTCCTCACCGAGTCCCATGTCACATACGTCACACCAGTTCACAGTTTTTGACACACAACAAGCCATTTCTGTGGTCTTGATTTCTTCGCAGTTGGTAGAATCTTGCTCATAAAATTTCTTTCCCTTAGATGGGGCACTGTTTGTCTGACGATTGTCAACCCGGCACTTAGTGCTCTACAGCATTAGCATATTTGACAGAGAGTCCCTCAATTAACTGAATTCTGATTGACAATCAATCTATTCTTTTCCTTGTGTTATTCCTATATATTACCACCACATTCAGAAATTTTCTTTCTGCCCCTTATAGTTTTGCATATTTTCCCAATGGACGTTTGTGCTTTTCTAGATTGTCACTTACCACAGAGTCAAGAAAAGAACAAACATCTATTTTCAGTATCAAATTGTGAATCTCATAAAATTTTGTTCCGATTTGGTTTGGAGTAAATATATCCTCCACTGGTCATGAAGCAACACAGCTAGCCACTTTGCTGCTTGCGGCTAAAACCAGAGTGCATGAAGTGTATTTATAGAACAAACGGGGATTACAGTAGTACCATTCATATAGTGAACTTTTTCTTGTTTGCATAACACTTCTTAGAGTGAACATCACGTCTCAAAGTCATAGATTCTCCATGTGTTTTCTCGTGGTTACAAATTCCAATCTAGAAGCAGTACTGGTCAAAATACACCTCAAGAGAATCGACTTTTCATTCAATCAGCATGCAGGACAGCACACAGTATTGATCTAACATATTTAATTCATAAGAATTCCCCTAGGGGCGAGGATAGATTTGTATGGTATTAAGTCCATCAAGTGCTGAGGTAGAAAACTTTCCCAAAGAACTCAAATGTAATACAACTGCTGCAGGAAGTTCAAGGTGGGACAACGAATAGACAAAATGATAGCCTGAAATTTTCTCTTTAATTTCATACCAAAAGAATTACTTTAAAAGGAAACAACAGTTCAAAATGTGAGTTGAAACTAGCGCTGCACTATGAGTGCCAGGTACGGACTTTGGCGACATGTGACAGAAGCTGCTGGTGTGCCATTCACGGACTACGGCACTGAAGGGTTAAACATGGTGCCAGAAACTAAGGCTACATAGCACTGAATGTTAGAGCGATTACTGAATACTGAATTGTAAAGGATATGGAAGGAAGTGGTTGTGGTATAATTTCAGATACTATCCCAGCATTTGCCTGGATAGACTAAGGAAAACCACCAATAACTTCAGCCACACAGCTGTTCATCAGGCTAAGATCTGAATCTGGGGGTCTCCTAAATATAAAGTAGGAATGCTCTCCAATAAAATATTACATCGAATATAATGTCCCAAATAACTTTTCTCTTATAATGAAGAAAAACGGTCAAAAGGTTGAGCCTGAAAGTTGGGAGGTTGTGCTAATGGTCCATTCAAAATTGCAGAAGGAAAATGTTGAGAATCACTGCTCTGAGTTATTCTGAAAAGTAACTTATACCTTGCATCAAGAATCCACTTCCGCCTCTCAGCAGGATCACTTGGTAAGGTCTCATCAAGTACTTCCAACTCTTTCTCAGCTGCCATCACACTCTTTGCATTCACTGATACTCCACCTAGCTTGAAGGATGGTCCACGTCCACGTCGTTTCTGAGCAGGGACTGAAAGATTACTGTCCTCATTAAGTGTGGACTCATTTTCCTTTTGTGCTTGCAATTCTGTCATGGAATTTGTGCATCGCTCTCGTAACAGTTCACCCAACCGGCGAAGTTCTGCCAGTGGTTTTTCCTGCAGCTCTGCATCACATGCTACTGCTTCCAAACGTTTTAATGGGGCAGGGAATCTCTTGAAACTCTTCACAAACCGGCGTATCTGAATCACAATATAAAGCCATCTAATAAAAATTTGTTCACCATATAACATAGGAAGGAGCTGAAACTGATGAAAAAAGTTAAGCGATTAACCACTGCATCATAAATACCACATATCACTACAAAGAGGATACATGTTACACTTACGGTTACAGTAACTGTTAGGAGCACTAATAACCTGCAAGTGCAACAGTTTTATAGAACTAGCTCTTAGTTGAAGAATGTGCTTTTCCAGAAATCAGTCATTAATGGGTAGATAAACTGATTCTTTATATAAGTAAGTGATAATGAAACAAAATCTAACACAACACTTTTTTCTTTTAACATTACTTACTTCCTGATCAGTGAATCCCTTAATATTCTCACGAGGAGTGACACGGGGTCGTCCCCTCTTCCTTGGTCTCTCTTCATCACTCCCTTCCTCACTGGATTCTGATTCTTCAGTTTTCTTCCGCCGTTTTGTTCCTCGACTACCTCCTTCACCTGTATGTCATGTACAATATAGTACACTCTCAACTGCTCTGAGTAATGGAATTAGAAAGAAAACTGAAACCATGGATAATAAAATATTCTGACTTTCTTTTATATCTTTACTGTGAAGTTGTTTCCTATTGCAATTACATTACTCTCAGGCATGTAAGAATTGTATAACCAATTTATAGTGTTTCTTTTTAGCTGAAATGTAATATTAGCAACACTGAATCTTAATGAATTTATGTTTCATTATACTGACTACAAAAATTCTGTTTTTACAACAGGCCTTCCTTTACAGTCCACATCTTTATCATATTTACCATTACAAGCCATTATCTCTTCAAGATAGTTAAAAATCAATGTGAATGAATTAATCGGATATTTGAGACTGGACTGTAACAGTAAGTACAATTTAACTTTTTTTTTTATTACAGTAATGCACAAAGCCTACCATCACTATCAGATTCGTTGATTTGTTGTAATGTTTTACGACTCCGTGGTGGTAAGTATAAGTCATCCATTTCCTTTTGACGTTCTTCTTCTTCGACCTTCTTGCGAAAGTTTTCCGGAATTATCTCATCCTACATGTACATAAAATACTATAATTTGCAAAAATCCAAAAATGTAACACATTATTCACATTAGTTTCCAAACACTGCAACTTACCCAGTCTTTACTCTCATCATCTGGTTCCTGCTCTGTACTAGGAACCTCTTTGTCTTCTTCAAAAGCTGCAAAACTTGCCACTTTAAATGCTGAAAGAAGCTCATCACCAACTGTGGCAGGAGCTTCATCACGAGTCTCTGCTCGCCGCAAGATCTCATCAATATCACACTACAATAATGAACAACAGCACCTGTTTACTACACAATATAGTCACCCGCTAACCTTGTTTTAATCTAAAAGGTTTTGAAATGGTGTTGAATCTCTGTTCACAACAGATCCAAGGTTCTTGCAAACAGCAGAAATTTAAGGTCACATTAATATGACCTTCAGTGAAAATTTTGTACCTAAAGATACTGAGGCATAAATTACACCTGGATTTTGACTATACATTTTGAAAACTGAAAGAGCATTGGTGCATACATCATCAAAAATTACCAGCAACCAACATGCTGATGTTCTATAATGTATGCATTTTTCTTACTAATAGTGTGGGTACACCAAACCATGCTAAACTTTCATGTCACTCACTGCAAACTTAGACAGTGCATTAACTATATCAAAGTGTGGAATTTTAGACCTCTAGATAAAAAAGGGCTGGTGGTCATATTTTAACTACTAGTAAGACTTGTTGGCATGCCTCTGACAATGGCAACAGATCTTGTAATAAATGTTAAAACTATGATAATAACTAGGCTGTGGACAACTGACAAAGAGTGCTGCTTAATGGATTGGGACTACAGTCAAAGATCCTTTTATCATAAAAGATTCTACTTTCCAAATATACAAAGTATAGCAGGAGGCAATATATAAACACATTTTTACAATCCAGGGAAACACAAAACATGCATTCAGGATGAAGATAAATTTATGGACATGTATTTATATGGACAGATGCGCGCGTGCACGCACGCACACACACACTATATTTGAATTACCTTCATGTATTTGTAAATGTACGTGTATAACTATCAAGTAGTTAATAAACTACAACAGAAGAGAAGAACTGATTCACTTTCTGTTCTAATGTTCACTAACCGTTGGTTCTTCATCGCCATCCTCTTCATCTTTGAACAATTCTTCAGCTCCAAATTTCAGGATAGCAGTCAAGTCTTCTTTATTGAATGGTGTTGTACTAGTAGAGCCCTTTTTGTCCAATACAGTCCTGCCTGTTGTGTCCATACGCTGGATCACTAAGTGATCTAGTACCATCTTTTGCTTTGCCCGTTCTACAATCTCTTCTTCCACTGAACTGCGTGTTACCAGCCGATAAATGTTCACCTACAAATCAAACAGACAACAAATTGAATTCAGACAGCTATGAAACAAATTAAATTTCTTAGTTCAGTATATTTTATATTAAAAATATTTTGCGGTATTCAAATATATCATCTTATACAATTCTTCAATGTCTAAGCTTCATACTGATCAATATTTAAATAAGATAACTTTTTTAATCAGTATTATGTTGACTGTCCTCTGTATGCACTTGAATGACATTCTATGATTGCATAATTTTATTAATCAATTACATGGTCACCATTACATGCTTTATTTGTAACACAAGTCATTATTTGATCATCATTTGGTGCACATTGTGACGTGGATGGCGCAACGGGAAGTAGGGGTCACGTGAACTCTGCGGTCTCGCGAGTGACGTAACTGTTCCACTGAAGTGCTGCCTACGTAAAGATGATTAATGCTATTAATTTGAAATTTAATTGTTCGAATGTAAGGACAGGAACAAGGTAGTGAGACATAGGTCCATTCTTGTATTTTAGAGTTAGCGTCTTCCCATGCTTACAGGAGAAACAGGAAGACACCCATCAAAGGTTTATTAGAGGAAAGTTACGTTAAAGAATAGCTAAAGAAATCTTTTGTGAATTCTTTACTTGGCAGTTTGTGCATGCCATAACTTAAAAAGAGTGAAGTTTTTAGGTCCCAAGCGACGCTTAAGCATTTGTCAAATTATGACAGTTATACGATGGAGTCAGAAATCCTTAAACCCTTGTAAGATTTAAACGGAGTGGAGGAATGTCTAATTAAGATACTCCTATTTTTCAAATATAACCAATCACTAAAATTTAAGGGTGTCACAGAGCAGAGACAATGAGGAAACAAGGACTTGAAGGTCTGAGTAGAAATCAGTTGTCAAAGTCAGTCGCACACCGGGGCGCCGTAGAAACTAGACGCAAAAAGGTCTAATACCAGACTCAGTAGAGACCAGACGTGAAAAGTCACACACCGGGCTCCAAAGCAATCAGACGCGAAAAAGGCTAACACCAGCATTAATAAGAAAGAAGTAAAGTCTCATACTCCACCTTGAGTAAATCAGATTTATAAGTTACTCGTCAGATTTCAGTTCAAAGTGGTGTAATTCTTGTATAAGCCAGAAGAAAAGTTATACTGGTGTTATTCAATTAGATGGTGTTAAGGAGTTGACCAAATCAAGTCTGATAGTAATCGGTTAAAACTCTGAAATTGGTTTAGTTAAATAAGTGGCGCAAAACAAGTGTCTTTTAAATGATAATAACAGAATTTAAACCTAATATCTGCTTTAATCTACAATAAGCAATAAACGTGTCGACAGAAGTGTTTAGTAATGAGAATAATAATACCTCTGAATTTGATTGTATTTGGTTGTCTGTGCTTATTTTCTGCTTCTTTGAGTGTGACCTGTTAAGACTCTGAGAAAGAGGATCTAGCTCTACCGAACCCAACCACCTTACCTATACAAAAAATCAAAGAACCCTGAGATATAAATACGAGGGGGGACCCAAAAATAACCAGAATTTATTTTTGCATTTTTATTGAACTGTATACTAGTCCCCTTCAAAGTATTGTCCATGTGCATTAATGCACTTGTCCCAACGCTTTTGCCACTGCTCAAAACAGTGCTGGAATTCTTGAGGCTGGATACTGTTCAAAGCCTTTAGCGTGTTTTCTTTGATTTCATCCACATCACGGAATCGCTTTCCTTTCAGACTTCTCTTCATCCGTGGAAACAAAAAAAAAGTCCAACGGAGCAAGGTCGGGTGAGTAAGGTGGATGAGGCACAATCACCATGTTGTTGCTTGTCAAAAACTGTCGGACCGTCAAAGCTGTGTGGGCTGGAGCATTGTTGTGGTGAAGCAACCAGTTCCCATTTCTCCACATTTCGGACCGTTTTCGTTGCACACTCTCTCGTAATCTTCGTAATATATCCAGGTAAAAATGTTGGTTCACTGTTTGTCCTGGCGGAACAAACTCTTTGTGGACAATGCCATTCACATAAAAAAAAACAAATCAACATTGTTTTCACATTGGATCGCACTTGACGCGCTTTCTTCGGTTGTGGTGAAGTTGGAGTTTTCCACTGGCTTGATGATTGCTTTGATTCTGGATCGTACCCGTAGCACCAAGACTCATTGCCAGTCACAATTCTTTTAAGAAATTCTGGATCGTTCTGCACTTCACTCTTCAAGTCGCGGCAAACATTCACACGGTTTTCTCT